ACTCTTTACTAGAATAGAAAGCCTCCCTAGGCAGCTGGTAGTTTGGTACTGTTGACCTTGAGGTTAATAGCCCAACTTGTAACCACCATACCACTAGTAGGTTACAAATACATCATTTGCATGATCTACTGCTCAAGCCCTGCAAAATATATACCAATCACAGGGAAGACTACAGCCTAGGACCAGAAAAAATGTATCAAACCAAGTTGTTTACAGCTTATCCAGGAAATGCCAGCCAACCTGGATAATACAAATAATCTTTTAGGTTAGGAAACTACGACAAAGGCAGCTCCTTAGGATTTCAGGTGTTTTCGAAAGAACCAAGGCAAAGGCCACATAAAGAAGTCATTTCACCGCAGATCCTTGAGCCTTTGCTGCTGGTTTGACCTTTCTCAGCCTGTCCAACCCAAGAGGAAAGCTTTATATTAATGTTAGGCCCTTTGAGATTTAATGGAAAAATTATTTGATCCCCCACAGAGGCAGGGGTTTAATACAAACATAAGCTTTTTGTGGATCAAATTTTTATTATTGTCAATACATTCATACGGGACATGGCATTTACTTTGTGAAAGTAGCAATACTATGGAAAACTTGTAAGATTTATGGAAGACTAGTCCTTATGCTTTGCTCCTTTATCCACAAACCTGGCCAAGTTTCCATTTCCAAGTGTTTTTCTAATATGAGAAACAGTGTATGCATGACTGCTATAACTCAGAAATAATGTTAATATCTCTTCTTCACATTTCAACCATATCAATAGTCACTGCTAACTGTTGTATTCCAGATTCAGAGACGTGGAAAATAAGAGTGCCAAGAAGAAACAGCAGTGCATCCTTCCTTCTTGCTTCTCTTTATTTCTTCCTTTCCTTTCCTTCTTTCCTTCCTTCCCATCTTCTTTTCTTCCTTCCTTCATTGGTTAACTTTTTTTTGTTGTTAACTTTTTTATTCCCTGTGTTAGTGTGAGGAGACTAGAGAAACAAATTCATAGACAGTTATGTGTATATAGGAAAGGGCTGTATATAAAGAGTAATTGTACATTAAGAAAACATCCCAATCCAGATCAAGTCCATAAGTCCAATATCAGCCCATATGTCCAATACTAGTCCATAAATTCCTCTTTAGACTCACGCAGCCATGCAATCATGCCGAATATTGGAAGATCACAGGCCAGTGGGTGGAAAGTCTTGTGGATCCAGTGGCAGTCGAAGCATCTCAGCACTGGCAGGGATCGCCACATGGCTCTTCCAGCTCCCAGGGCTCTGGCTGCATCAATGTAGCTCCAACAGGCTCTTCATCAGTAATGTCTCGCAGGGAATGAGCATGCGTCCGCCTCCAGTGAGCTATTTATTTCCTTAGGGCCTCCCAATGAGGTCATCAAGCTGCCTGATTGACAGGCTAAACACCCCTTTTAAGTCTCAGATTGACAACAGATTATGTAACTACCACACTCTCCATAACTCAGTTATTTAAGATTCTTTGAAGTCATAGTTAACTCTATGAATCAATTGTAGTTTATGTCAGTTGTATTTTTATTTCCTTCAAAGCGTTTTGATGCTTTTAGTGGCCATCTCGTCCTTACTTCTCCCCATCTCTCTTGCTCCTCACTGTACCCCCAGTGTCCTTAGTTAATATGTGTAGAGAACTAGGTAATGAATGAATACTGTTCTGGTTTGTTGTCACCGTCTTTAACCTGAATTTGTCTTTAAAAATAGTTTAATATAAAAATGTCACTTAATGTTGAGCCATCTTTCATTCATTTTGTATTTTCTAACAAAGACTTTAAATTCTGATGTTTCTAAAGAATTATTTTTGGGTCTATTGTAGTAAACAGTAGGTCTTCTACATCACAGTCCACCTTTTATGTGGATGAATTGGGTGTTATTTTCCTCTTGAACTTGGACATGAGTATGACTTTACATTTCTTCTGTTTCTCCTTAGTTGATCCTAGTAGGCCACCACCACTCACTGCCACTGAGCTGATTCCAACTTACAGCAACTATATAGAATTTCTAGGACTAAATCTTTAATAATCCAAACGGACTCTTAGCAAGTTGCCCCAAATTAAACCAGACTCGCTGCCTTAAGCTTATTCTGGCTCATAAAGCTCTGGTAGCGCAGTGGGTTGTGTATTGGGTTGTTGAAAACCACCAGCTGCTCTTCCAGAAAAAGAGGGGACTTTTGATCCTTTAAAGATTTACAGTCTTGGAAATCCATAGGGGCAATTCTGCTTTGTCCTATAGAGTTGCCATGAGTTGGAGTGGGAGCAGACAGCCTCATCTTTCTCCCATGGAACACCTAGTGGGCTTGAACCATTGATCTTGTGGTTGTCAGCTCATTGCATAGCTTACTGCACTGCCAGAGATGGTACTTAATCCGGGGCTCATCCCAATTAATTGCAGAGTCACCTTTTAAAGCTCTAAAACTTATATTATCATTCATTCCTAACGTGTTTGTCAAGAGTGCATAGGACTTAAAAATTTTGCTCAAGTATGTCATTAGTGTATGTGATCAAAAAATAGCTGTATAAATTAAAACCGATTAGAACTTAAATTTTGTAAGAACTTTTTTTAACTGAATTACAGTGCACAGTGTGATGTTTGTATCTGAGCGTTCATCAGAAATCTTGATATGTTTGATAAAAAGTAGAAACACTGTACTATTTTAAGTCATTTTATTGGGGCTTGTAAAACGCTTATCCACAGCATCTGTTGTGTCAAGCACATTTGCACATTTGTTGCCATCATCATTCTCAAAACATGTGCTGCTTTCCACTAGAGCCCCTGGCATCAACTCATTTTCCCCCTCCCTACCCGTTCCCCCCTCCCTCATGAACCCTTCCTTGATAATTTACAAGTCATTATTATTTTGTCATATCTTACACTGTCCGACATCTCCCTTCACCCACTTTTCTGTTGTCCATCCCCCAGGGAGGAGGTTATATGTAGATCCTTGTAATCAGTTCCCCCTTTTTATCCCACCTTTCCTCTACCCTCCCAGTATCACCACTCTCACTCCTGCACCTGAGGGGTTCATCTGTCCTGTATTCCCCATGTTTCCAGTTCCCATCTGTACCAATGTACATCCTCCAGTCCAGCTGGATTTGTAAGATAGAATTGGGATCATGATAGTTGGGGGGAGGAAGAGTTTAAGAACTAGAGGAAAGTTGTATGTTTCATCGTTGTTACACTGTACCCTGACCAGCTCATCTCTTCCCCGAGACCCTCTGTAAGGGGATGGGATGTCCACTTGCCCAGAAATGGCCTTTGGGTCCCCACTCTGCACTCCCTCTCAGTCACAATGATGTGATTTTTGTTCCTTGATGCTTCCTTCGACACCTCCTGATCACTCAGGCTGGTGTGCTTCTTCCATGTTGGCTTTGATGCTTCTGTGCTAGATGGCCACTTGTTTACCCTCAAGCTTTTAAGACCCAGATGTTATATCTTTTGATAGCCGAGCATCATCAGCTTTCTTCACCACACTTGTTTATGCCACCATTTGTCCTCAGTGATTGTATCGGGAAGGTGAGCACACAAATGATATTTTTTTCCTTCTTTGATACCTGAAACCTGATCCCTTCGACACCTTGTGATCACACAGGCTGGTGTGCTTTTTTCATGTGGGCTTGGTTGCTTCTTAGCTAGATGGCCACTTGCTTATCTTCAAGTCTTTAAGACCCCAGATTCTATATCTTTTAATAGCTGGTCACCCTTAGCTTTCTTCACCACATTTGCTTATGCACCCATTTGTCTTCAGCGATCATGTTGTGAAGGGAAGCATCGTGGACTGCCAGTTCAATAGAACAGTGTTCTTTTATTCAGGGAGTGCTAGAGTGGAGGCCCAATGTCCACCTGCTAACTTAGTACTAAACCTATAAATATATGCACATAGATTTGTTTCTTTATCATAACTAAATATATTTACATATGTACATGCCTGTATTTAGACCTCTGTAAATGCCCTTTACTTCCTACCTCTTTTCTCTATTTCCTTTTACTTTCCTCTTTCCCACTATCATGCTCAGCCTTCATTTGGGTTTCAGCATTTCCTCTCAGTTACATTGCCCTGGATCAAGCCCTACCAGGCCTCCTACATCCTCCTCGCCACTGATTTTGGACCACTTGTTGTTCCCTTGTCCCTGAGTTTCTTAACACCACTTCCTTCCCCCACCCAACTCCCCCTCTCCCTTATCCCTCGAACAGTCAGCCCAGTTGTTTTCTCCTCCAGATTGTTTATCCAGGTATGCTTCCTTCTTGATTTGCTCCATTTTGGGGGGTTCAGACCACACTACTTCCCCACCATGTGACCCCAGAAATGTCCTCTGTTGCAGTCTGCTCCAGTAAGGGCACAGTGTGATACGTGCTGTAAACACTGTACTATTTTTACACTTTATAAATTTTGGCTCGGGAAAGGGGCAGAATAATTTTTTAAACTTACTTTTTTCTTATAAGAATTTGTCAAATATTTTTATTCAAAGTAAATGCTACATTTTTATTTTAATATCTTTTATTTATGTTTTATTTTAATTGTTAGGGGCTCATACAATCAATTGTGTAAAGCACATTTGTACATTCATAGCCCTCATCATTTTCCAAATATTTGCTCTCCACTTAAGCCCCTGGCATCAGGGCCTCATTTTTCCCCCTCCCTTCCCGCTCCCCCCTCTCTCATGAACCCTTGATAATTTATAAATTATTATTTTGTCATATCTTGCCCTATCCGACGTCTCCCTTCACCCTTATCTTAATGAATTAAAATGTCTGCAACAAATGTACATACATGTTTGATACAATGGATGTATGTATGGATTGTGATAAGAATTGTATGAGCCCCCAATAAAATGATTTTCTAAAAATGCGTGTGTTGTTTTTGATAATGGCAAGGGAGTACACTTTCTGAATAACCAAGGTTAAACAGTTAAATTATATAAACTTCATGTCACAGCATTGTACTAGATATTAATTTAGAAATAAATCATCTTTTCCCCCTCTTTTCATATGTAGATTATATATTTGGGAAGAACTCCAGAAGAAGCTTATAGAACATTAATGTTTGGAGACACATCTTATATTCCATTCAGGTAACTATAAGAATGATGTGTTAGGTTAATTTAATGAGACCCTTCTCAGAAGCATATTGGTAGTTGTTTCTGAAGAAAACAAAAAAGAAGAAACTATGATAAGTTATTTTATGGTGGATGCAACTAATACCATATACCTAATTTCTCAATAGTAACACTATAAGCATTATGTTGTGGGAAGTCTATTCCTTATGTGTAGGGTGTTTAATAGTACCCCTGACCTCTGTCCCCTGGATATCACTCATTCACACACGCACAAACAATTTTCAGAACTAAATAGGACTCTAAACATTGCCACAAGTCTTATCTCCCTTTTTTAAAAGTCATTTTATTAGGGGCTCATACAACTCTTATCCCAGTCCATACATGCATCAATTGTGTAAAGGACATTTGTACATTCATTGCCCTCTTATCTCTTAAGGAGCAAAATTGCCCCTGGTTGAAAATCACTGCCAGTAATAGAAATTAGACTAATCAACTAAGGATCCTGGATGTCTGATATTCAAAGCTACCATTGAGGTGTTTGGTTTTACTTGGAAATGAAAGCATTCCCAATGATAAGTTATTTCTGGGACAAAAGCTAGGTGGACCAGCAACAAAGCTAGTGGTGCGTGTGCTACCAGCAGCGCTAGTAGAAAAAAACCCAGTTAATTGCTGTACCATAGACGTGACGGGTAAGTAACGTCTTTACATTGTCTGACGTCTCCCTTTATCCACTTTTCTGTTGTCCGTCCCCCTGAGAGGAGGTTATATGTAGATCCTTGTAATCAGTTCCCCCTTTCCACCGTACCCTACCTCCACCCTCTCAGTATCGCCACTCTCACCACTGGTCCTGCTGGAAAATATTTTAATTGCTATGATATAGATATCAGTTCAGTATAAACCCAGGGCAGTGGTTGTCAACCTTTCTTCTTCTCTTTAAAAAAAATCATTTTATTAGGGCTCATACTACTCTTATCACAATCCATACATACATCAATTGTTTCAAGTACATTTGTACATTCATTGCCCTCATCATTCTCAAAACATTTGCTCTCCACCTAAGCCCCTGGCATCAGCTCCTCATTTTCCCCCTCAGCACTCACTTTATTGCTATGTATCCCAAAGCATGCTCTATTCTTCAGCTGGGTTTGATATTTCACTGAAGTGACTGCAGAACTCACACACAATATCTGTGATTGTGTTTTTATTAGGGAAGTTGACAGGTTACAGTTGCCCAGATGAGAATGCTCAGAATACAGTTGTTCAGTCAGTACTGTCTCCACCATTGCCCATAGGCAGCTTCTCTTTGACCTTTGGCCTCTTGGCCTGGCTTCTGCCCTGCAATGTTACAAAGCTTTTCTAGGGCTGTATTTAACTGCCTAGGGTACCCAACTCCACAAGTTAACCTCTTGCCCCAAAGTGCTCAGCTTTACTTGCTCTGTGGGCTGGGCATCCACTACTCTGTCTCATACTCTGGTTCTGGTGCTGCTGAAATACAGTCATAAAATTGGTGAACAGTATTGGATAGACATTTCACCAAAGGGGATCTTTAAATGACCACTAAATATATGAAAAGATGTGCTCAATGTTAATAACCACCAGAAAGGTGCAAATCAAAAGCAAGGAATCCCAGTAAGTGGCTACAGCTCTGGTGGTCCTGTGGGGTTGGCATTGGGCTGCAAACCACAGGGCTGGTGGCTCAAAGCCATCCAGACCTTTGCAGCAGGAGGAGCAGATTGTCTGCTCCTGTACAGAGTAACATTTCGTAAATCCTATAGAGTTGCAAAGTTTCAGAACCAATTTGATGGTAGTGGGTTCTAGTAGCTAAAATGGCTCAGATAAAAAGAAAAACAGAAAAAGCAACTGTTATCGAGGATGTGGGTTAATTTAAACCCCTGATCAATTGCTGGCAGAAATGAAAATAGTACCTGACTTGGAAAACTGTGTGGCTGCTCCCTAAAAATCTAAAAATAGAACTACCATGTGATTAGCAAATTCCACCCTGAAATATATCAGAATAAATAAAAAGTATTGCTACAAAATCATAGAAATCTTTATTTTGGGAGAAAAAACTATCAGAATGTGAAGCTATTATTTATCAACATGTCCTCCATCAGGCTCTTACTTTTGGAAGATGAAATTTTCTTTCTTGCTAACGCTTCACTGAAGATTTTTGTGCTCTTCAATTTACACTGCATTCAAATGGCAGTTTTGATATATTTGAGGGTCGCAAATTGTGTTCCGACTCCTCTTCCCCCAGTGTTCTTTGAGTTAGGGGGCAAAAAGCAGTCTGAAGGAATAGGATCAGGGGTATAGGATAGCTGGGGTAATGTTTCCCCCCCAAATTCTCCTGGAACAATGCTTGCTACTCTTTTTTTTTTTTTTCTTTTTCTTTTTGCTTGCTACTCTTGAAGAGTGAACAGGTGCATTATTGTGATGGGGGAAAAATTTTGTGTGTGCAACTTTTCTGACCTTATTTTCACAATGAAGATTTCCATTTTTTTTAAAGCTTCTGAATAGGACTCCATGATTGTCTTTGATCCTTCAAAATAAATTCATCAATATTACTCTGTTGACATTCCCCCAAGTAGTGGCCGTAACCTTCTGAACAGATCTCTCTACTTTGAATTTAATGGACCTAGCAGATCCCTTTGGAAACCACTGCTTTGATTGGACTTCATTTTTTTAAGGCATTTTGAGACAAATGTATTACTGAGAGAACTTGCGTGCAGTCATCTGTTTTGGCTGCATAGACATGTTTAAACTGGCTTTATATGAAATATACCTACATAAGTATCACTGGAACCCTAATAGCAATACTTTTTTATTTACCCTTGTCTACAAAAGGACAAATATTGTATGGCCTCACTTAAATTAAAAGACAATGAGAGTTAATGTATCGAGACCAAATTTTCTTAGTGATTGCCATGGGTGGGATGGAGGGGGCAAGGAGCTGTCATTGTTTATAGAATATTGAGTTTCAATTTCAGGTGATGGAAAAGTTGCATTGATTAAGGGTAGGATCATACAGTGGATTCTTATCATTGTCATCAATGAGTTATCCACTTATAAAAAGTTGTGTGATACATAGATCTATAACATCACCCCTCCCCCAAGAGAGTAACTGTTAAGGCAGCTTATGTACAGATGAATGCCTCATGGAATTGGATTTCTTGTTTTGAAGGTTAAGTGCCATGGTTTCATGGAACATCCCAGGTAATTGCCAAGTAACACATTTAGTGCTTCTGTTCTATTTCATAATTCCTTACATAGTACTTGACGTCTTTAAAGTTTGCTGATGACCATATAATGTGTAACAGTTTATTTTTGCCTGAAGCAACAGAGGAAGGAGAATTAGGAATAGGAGGCATATAGGATAAGCTTGGTTAGTGCCTCGATGACAGATAGGAGTTTGATTCTCAGGTGTCAATAATATTAACATAAATAAGGTTTTTTTTTTTGTTAAGTTTTATTGGCATTTACTTCACATATCATACAATTCAGTAGTTCATATTATGAATAATTTTGCAATCATCACCACAATCAATTTTAGTTAACTCTGGCTCTTAATAAGTCTTTAAATCTCTTTTTTATTAGATAATATTTTTTATTGACATATCTTACTCATTCCAATATATCCATTCACATACAGTTAAGTTATTCAATCCCATTCAGTGGGGGGATTGATCATCAATGCTACCGACTCCCCTTCACCCCCTGCCCCCCACCCCTCTCTCTTCCCGTACCCTCAGGGAACCATTACTCCTGTCACTGTCTCTGAGGCGTCATCTCTTTTGACTACCATGTACTAAGGGGTCTTAAATGTACAAATGAAAAATGAAAATCTAACATAATTAATGAGATATAACCCATAAAGACCTTAATAGTATGGGGAAGAAATCTTAAAGGACTAAAGGATAGTTATGTAGTTCATCAGTGCCATAACGTAGCCTGGATCTATCATCTATTTTGTGTGGCCCTTCTGAGAGGGACTGTCCACTTGTCTTGCTGGTGGACTTTGGGTCTCCACTACATCCACTCCCCTTCATATCGATTTGGTTATAAACCTCTTTGAACTTGGTTTTATAATCTGTAAATGGGAATGAGAATATTATCTATTTAATGGGACTAGAGGTGTTAAATTACATTCTGTATCTAAAACAGTTGAGTGTTGTTTTTTAATTCATGGATAATTTATGTACAATAAAGGCACTAATCTTAGCTAAGAGTCCTTTAGCTAACATTTGCTGATCATGATATTTTATAAATTAAGTATAATTTATATAGAATATAAATACCAACCTTTAGTGTAAAGCTTAGCAAATTTTTACTTTATATATACTTACCACATGTAGTTCAAAATATAAAACTTGCCATGTCCTTAGAAAGTTCCTTCCTGAACTTCTTGATCACAGATTCTATGGCAGAGTGCTGATCAAAAGGGAAAGTACACAACTGAACATTAAATTCTCATGGAATCCGGACTTTCTGAAGCCTTGATGACTTTATGAAGTCTAGACACCATTTCCCTGAGATGATCCCTGAACCCTAAACCAAATGTATCCTGAAAATCTTACAATGAAACAGTAGATTAGGAAAGAATCTCTACCCGGGAGCACCATGCTCTTTTAAGATATATATGGGATCAAATTGAAGACCCAATCCAACCCAAACTCACTGCCAATGACTTGTTACTGTAGCAACTCTATTGTTCTATTGGACAGGGTGGAACTGCCCTTGTAGGTTTCTGAGACTGTAACTCTTTACTGGAGTAGAAAGCCTTGTCTTTGTCCCGCAGAGCTGCTGTTGGTTTCAAACTGCTGACCATGTGGTTATGAGCCCAATGTATAACTACTTTGACACCAGTTGTTGTTATGTGCCTTGAGTTGGTTCCAGCCTTGTGCACAACAGAATGAAAAGTTACCCAGTCCTGCACTATTCTTACGATTACTTCTGTGCCTGAACATATTGTTGTAGCTACTGTGGCAGCCCAACTCATTGAAGGCCTTCCTCTTTGT